TATATATATATATATATATATATATATATTCACTGTGATTGATAGGATTAAACTAACGATATTAAAGCATTTGCATCCCATATGCAAAACTTAGTCCGTAATGGATAATGGTAGTCATAAACAGAGTGCTTGACGCATCTGCTACTAATGACATCGTATATTGCTGCTCTTTTTCAGTTCCATCTAGTCATGAAGTTTTATGACAGGTTGTTTGGTTTCTTGGTGGGCAGTTCCACGGATAATGTTTTCAACTGAAAACTGGTTCAACCAATTTTGCTTCATATGGAGGTTTTAAGAGTCAGCCGGCTTGTGTCGGCCGACTTACATAGTAATATATCGAATCCCGAACGCTCGTTAGTCTTTCATTCGGACGTCACTACAACGGTGACCACATATATCACAGCGTTATTAATCAGTGCATCGAACTTATCAGGTCAACGCCCGTTCCACGCCAACTTGCACGAAATTCGCGTCCGTTCCGTGTACTTTCTACATTCTTACTGCTTCGATTATCAGAATAAATTACTGATACATCGCTTCGTTCTTACTATCAATTGACTCAGTAAATCGACATCCATAGGGCTGTTTCCTAACGAGCAAATATCAGCATAAATAAGGAATATATGTCGCTAAACACAGCAGTGTTTGTAATGTCCCACGTTATTAAACTTCCATAATTTGAGCGGTTTGGTTGATTCGTCAGCATATCTCTTGATGTTTGAGCTACTGTCACGTATTTCCCACTTTTTCGATGAATTGTATGCACATTTCCATCTCTATTATCGATTACTGCATTCGTGCCCTTTAATCACTTAGACGATTGGACACCTTCGAGAAGAGCTTGCCTACTGGAAGAATTTGTGCCACGAGCAAGAGGGCAGTTTGTCTGAGATGGCAGCTATTGTGACCTCAAGCAAATTGGAAGCAGATCAGTTGCGTGAATCCCATACGGCACTCAAAGAAGCCCAATGGACAGATGACGCATGCGCACCAAGCTGTTCTAAGTGCCAAGCACCGTTTAATGTCAGCCGACGGCGGGTAAGTGGTCGCACTGTTTTCCGAAACTTTCATCTTCAAATCTCGCTTAGTATCTTCAGCTGCTCACTGTAGTCTAGTTTCTTCTGCGATTGTTAGCTTCGCCCCCTGTGGTAGGTTAGATGGGATGCTGATGTGCGTGATTGGACTGGTTGCAATAACGTTTTATCATTCTGACCATCCCTCGGAGTCTAATACAAGTTCCCGATGACTAATTAACTAATACTAACCCTGTTAGGTTTGTACACCAAACTGCTTTCAAAGACGTAAACCTAGAATCAAAGTTAAAAGTCCATGGAGTGGCTTACGATATTTTATTCAACAGAACGACAACGGCTTTTTGTGTGGATCAGATCATTTGTTTGCAAAAATGCTTTGGTGCTTGATTTTGTGTGCGTTGTGTTATCACCTCATTGATGGGCGAGGTTCAATTGGGTGTTTTTTTTTGCCGAGGTTCAATTGGGTGTTTTTTTTTCAGGTAGATTTGTGAGTAAAATCGCTTTCGTTTTCTGAGCAGGGATCTAATGTGCAGTACCGTGGGGCCGCCGTATTGCCAAGTCAAGTAACCTGACTGGACTATCGCGGCTATTATTAAGCATTGTTTGCGGTTCCCTTCTCTCTCTGCTCAGACTCGATTACTCGTGATGCGGTCCAAGTGGTAGTGGCGACTTTAATTAACTTTCAAGCCTGTTTCACACAGACTGGTGATAAGGATATTGTGTTTATGGAATTTGGCTGAAACTTATGTTCAGGTGTTGCCCAGGCCGAATAACCTCACACTAAATGGGCATCAATTTGAGTTCATTGCGGTGTATCCGGATTTAAAGCTCAGTAGGAAGTTGAGGGTGTTACTCGACTGATTGTAGCATCTTTTGAAGTTTATCACTCAGGACACGACAAACGAACACACTCGTGTACATTATTCATCATTTTATATTGTACTCATAGACATACCTATTCATTACGAGGTGACCTAACCGTTCCCAGCTTTCACTGTCCTTTCGTTTATGGTTTGGTTGGATGTTTTCGTCAGTTATCTTGGTGATACTAACTTTCTTCATTCGAAAGACATTGCACATACACTCCACTATGCCCGTTCATCCATTTAGCACCACTGTCGAAACTGCGGCCTGATTTTCTGCTATGCGTGCTCCGCACAGACCATGTCTTTGCCCAGCGCTGCCAAACCAGTCCGCGTGTGTGATGCATGCCACGCATTGTTACTGCACCGGTACGCGGAGAAATCCTGATGAAGACTGTCACGCCTGTGTCTTTCAATTCGTTCATTTGGAAAATGTACGAGTCTGCATTTGCTTTGTCATACATCCCTGTAATACGCATTGGTGCACTGTTTCTTTGAGATTATCAAGCGTTTTTCGTGATATCCTCAGTAACTTTGATTTTGTTCTCTGTATATACCCTATCTGATTTTTTGTGACCTGCACTTCTTTTGTATCTTGCCCATCCAATATCAGCCTGTATCCCTTTGCTCATAGCAGTCTGGAAAGTGGAATGTTACCCAGCAATAAATCTGCCGATTGTCTACCAAACCTTTCTAAGAATGCACAACACTAATTAATTATATTGTCATCAAGTGCATCTGAGTCGCTTGGCACTGTGAACTGTTGAGCAACCGCAGCTCATTTTTTCATGCACCAACAGTGTCCTCAAGGCTGAAAGCATTTCCTGATGATATTTCAAAAGGCCTTTAATAAGGCGACGAAATTAGAGACAACATAACTTGCAGCTGTAACTGTTCTGGTAGACTCTCCCTCAATTATATCCTGAATAGCGTTCAGCTGTGGCACCCTTTCGGTGCCTAGCTGCCATACCACCCGTAGGAAGCACGAGGGCTGGGATACTACCAGGTTGCCCAAGCCTAGACAGGGGAAGTCGAGAGACGGAAGTCGGATTCGAACCACGGACCTTCCGGTCAGTATATTCGCACTCTTACCACTTGGGTCATTTCGCCCATATCCTGAATACTCGAAGTCAATCTTAGGTAACACATCATGGTGAACTTGCCTCACAACGTGCTGTGGAAAAAGAAAGAGGGATAAGCGCCAAAACTTTAGTGGCCCAGGACCAGTTAACTGCGTGCGCCAAAGTCTTTTCAGACAATAGTAACTAATCATTACCTTCTTGAACGCCAATAGTTTCGGGTCATGGTTGTGCAGAGAGACGCTGAGTGTTGGCTTGAGTACACGTTGCGATTGGTGAGGCAGGTCTTCGGTGTTAGTTTCTAGCCGTGCTAATTTGTTCAGTCAGGTGATTCAAATACGAGTCGTTTTTCCGAGTCGTGTTCACATGGGCTTCAGTCTGTCCTTGCAATGTTAGGATCACCGCAACTACATCTGAACTGAACGTTGGACAGAAGTTGGCCACGCTATGCAACCCATTCCGCAAGTTGACTTGCCCTGTTGAATGCAAGGCTAGCTGGATGGGTGCAACTAATGGGGGCACAACTTGTGCGTAATAGCTACCGCCAAGTGGTCGCATTTCCATCGCACTCTGGTAGGACCAAGTTACTTCCTTGCTGTGAGTCGGATTGTGAACATACTCTACTGTGAATGACAGTTTATACCGGGTTGCCAGTGGACAAGTATATCTTCCAAAACACCCCTCTTGCAATCAAAAGTATACGTATGTCTCCTAAAAACGACAAACCATGTTTCTTTTGAAATCTAGGTGTTAACTGAAAAGTTGCACTTGATGCGCAGTTCGTGTTGGGTGCATGTTTAAGAAGGCTGTCTGGTCGTTTGATGCTCCAAATACCTGGAAACGCTAAACTATTCTTGTACCCCGATTTGTATGTAAGGGGTTTATACACTCATTTGCTCATTAAATTAATGATGAACTCTAAGGATGGCTAGACTGATAGTGGAATGTTGACGAATCATCAACCTTGTAGGCAGTGTTGTATCGAGATGACCCTTTGATTCTCCACCGGTCTTTGTTGCACGCTAGTTAGAAGTGACAGAATTAACCCTGCCTATTGCGCCAAAAATAGCTGGAAGGACACTGATCAACCGCGTTTCGAAGGCAAGCAGTGATCGATACGCGCACATGCAGCTAATCGATAGTGTTGACATGAGGGTTTCAAAAAAGCCGATCGTCGGAACACCTTTGGGCGATTCGAGTATGCCGTCGGATGAGTCACGTAAGTCACGTGCTACGAATTTTTATGTTGCAAGTGTATACTTGCGGAAACGGGGTCACCAGTTTAGTCGACGGCGTGATTCCTGTGTGTCCTTTAGATTTGCTTTTAGGAGCTGGCGACCCCTACATCCTCTGTCCTGAGCTGCTTGACCCACATGATATCGTGTCCTGCGCTTTTTTCTAGACTAAATTCGAGTGCTTTGCATTGTTCTGTGGATACGGATACTGCATTTTTCTATGCCTTTGAAGCTTGTCTTAGATGTGGCCTTGTTGACACCTGTAGCCTTCGGGTGGACTGACAATGCGCTGGGGATCAAACTATGCCTTGCAAGTATGTAAACTTTCCTTCCAAACCGCCATTTTTGGGAACCAAGGGATAATCCGTTTATTCCAGTTCTTCTATAAGTTCTTTCACGAGGAAACACCTTTGGCTGAGTGTGAAACTCAGCATGTACCCTAGATCGATTTGCATTCTAGGATGACAAAGAACTTGCAACTGGTCATGAAAGTTTTCAAACTACATTTCAGTCTTTAGACGGCCTTCATTTCGGATATCCACGAAATCATGTTCTTTGGACATTTATTCATTGTCCAAACTAGTAACAGGGGCTCACTGTCTGCTGTGTTGGTCACCCCATTGCAACTTAATGGTTTACTGAGTTACTCGACTTTTCCTTCCACGATGAATTCCAATCTCTTCATGGCAGACAGTATTCCAACCATTTTGGATAAACGGCCGTTGTTCTGCAGCGTATTTTGTTTCTCACATTGTCTCTACGGGTTTCTGCGGTGATTTGGTGCTAAAGCTTGGAAATGTTTCTTTTTCTTCCAACTTATAAAGGGGAAACTGGTAAAACCAAGTTGAAAATAATCGATTTATCGCATTTCTAGTGTAATCAGCTACTTGAGATCCACAGGTCAAAATTCATGGTCTAATGTCCTTTGATTATTGACGCTTTGCAAGCTGCGTGTATTCATTTGTAGTCATAGATTATTCGGAGCTGAAGTCTGTTGATCTGATTGAGGACCGTTTGCCAAGGGAGCACTACAGCTTCGCTAAACAAGCAGTAATGAAGGTGAACAGTCGACCAAAAAAGGTCCGTTTGCTAATGAGATGAACCTGTGGAGTGATGCCACTGCAATGCAGCCGTCGAAATTTATAACCGACTGATTTTGTGACGCTCTTGGAGAAGGTATGCTTTCCTTGGACGGAGCAACCGTGGGTTCCGTGAAGATACTTTTTAAGACACCAACCCAATTCCCAGTGGTCTTCAAAATAAAAAAACAATACAATTTTGTTACGGTTTGATCACGCAGCGGGCAAACAATATGATAT